CAAACAATTAAAAATAGAATTAACGTCTATAATGTGATCTAGTAATTCTACTTAGGGGTATATTCTCACAAAAGGTGTAAGTGGGGACCGGAACAGATATTTGTACAGCCATACTCATTATTCACAATAACTAAAAAGTGGACGCGACCCAAGTCCACTGACTGATGAATGGATAAACAAAATATGTTATATACATGCAGTGGAACATTATTCAGCCTTAAAAAGAAAGGAAATTCTGATACATGCTACTGCATTGATGAGCTTTGAAAGCATTATGTTAATGAAATAAGCCAGTAATAACAGGTAAAATAATGTTATAATTCTACTTATCACAAGTGTCATAACAGTGACTGGCATATAGTAGGTTTTTAATAAATATTTGTTAAAAAATGAATGGGTGAATCCATATGTTCACAACAGCCTCACGTAATAAATATTCATGGAAATGTCGTCCGTAAACCAGTTTCCAGATTTCCCCAAAATTTCCCCAATATTTAGAGTTTTCAATAAACATCTAGGAACCCACACCCAGTAAACAGTTGATGGATGACTTTCACCTCAGCTAAACTACAGTGAATAAAAACAGATGAAATATTTCCTTCCAGGTTTGCTTCAAATTTTGCAGGGTCAGGGAATGAGTTAATGTCCTTCCAAACTCCCACAACCCACAACAGCAATTAGGGGTGTGTTCCTAATTACCAAAATGGATATGAGAAGACAACTATCCCCAGACATATGTTAAGTGTCAACAAAATATGATGCATGTCAGTCAAAATGGAACTTAACTTCCCACCGGAAACAGGGGCAAGAGTGGGGGAGGGGGCGGGGAAGGTTGGGGATCGAAGATCCAAGTTGGGGAAATAATGATGATTATAGCTCTGTTCTCTATTGATGCGGAAAGAACTGTAAAAATAGAAGCAGAAAAAGTTCTCAGAGACATCAAAATCTGCCCTGGCAGAATAGCCCAAAACCATGACGCCAGATTTTTCTTGCGTGGTGGACTGATGAGTTTTATCTTCCAACGAGGGAAGGGATGACTCACCCTCAATTTAAAAATATAATAAGGAAGCTGAAATTGCTCCACCCAGACCCATTTCTCAGATAACCACCAACCTGAGGGCAACTGCCCTCCTACAGAAAAGAGCCCAGCAAAGTTAGCTACTAATTAGGAAAAATCATCCAATTATGCTAACTTGCTGAGGCTGGCAAGCTGTGTTTTACTCTATGTAGGCAGAATTTCATCCGGAACACACTTGAGAATTGTCTATAAAAGTGGGACCAGGAGAGTGGGGATGGGAAGTCACTCCACCCCGGCTTTCAGAGACAGCTCTGCGACTCGCTCGCCCGGATACCATGTCTCTCCGACTTTCCAGCGGATCCAGGAGGGCCGGTCCCCGTGCCACGGCAGGATCGCTCAGGCTCTCCAGTGGGGGAGCCGGCTTTGGGGCTGGAAATGCTTGCGGCGTGCCTGGAATTGGAAGCGGTTTCTCGTGTGCCTTCGGGGGCAGCTCCTCGGGAGGAAATGCAGTGGGGGGCAATCCCTGTGCTGGCTTTACTGTGAGTGAGGGGGGTCTCCTTTCTGGCAATGAGAAGGTGACCATGCAGAACCTCAACGACCGCCTGGCGTCCTACCTGGACAACGTGCGCGCCCTGGAGGAGGCCAACACCGACCTGGAGCAGAAGATCAAGGGCTGGTATGAGAAATACGGACCCGGTTCTTGCCGCGGTCTTGATCACGACTATAGTCGATATTTCCCCATCATCGACGATCTTAAAAACCAGGTAAGAAATTACCCTTCGTCATCTTTTCTCTGTACGTTTATTTCTAAATGTTCTTTTCCTTTCTTCACTGAATTCGAAAAACACTGATCACTTCTACTTGTGATTTCTTCAAGGGAATTTCAATTTAGCATTGGAAATAAGCACTAAGAAGATTCACTGGTCATGAAAAAAATGTCACTATCTAGTAACTATTGATTTTGATTCTTTCTATTTCCCAATCTAAAAATACTTTTTTTTTTGGTTGTGATAAGTTGCCTCTAAAAAGTCAAACTCCCCATTTCTAGATCATCGCTTCCACCACCAGCAATGCTAACGCTGTTCTGCAGATCGATAATGCCAGGCTGACCGCTGATGATTTCAGACTCAAGTAAGTAGCACCCAGAGTAGAAAGAATTCATGGAGGTCAATGGAAAGCATTCAACTGAATTTATTCCTTGATCCCTTATTAAATATGACCCACTCTTATTCCAACACTATAAAACATTCGGAATTAAAAGAAACAGGATGTTACTACTTTTTTATACTTTGGCTATAAATATAAAGTATGAACCACTACAAAAGTAGTGCCTGGTACCCGAGCTCTTTTTCTGCCAAAGAATTACCTCAAAATAAAATAATTATTATGATACAATAAGCTCTGAAAATGTCTCTTGTGGCCAAATCTGTC